CAATAACAAAACAAAAACAACCAATGTAAGTTGAGCAACAACAACAACTCGTTAGGGCGCAAATTCGATGCGGCAGCAACAACAACAAACAAACCACCAAAAAGACAAAACCAAACGGTAACCGTTAGAAACTTCAGGGCATATATGACTTATAGATACCCTGTGTGCAAAACAAAAAGTCTGATCAGAGTGAAAGCAAGTTAAGATACAAGTCAGCGTTCCTTCCGGGTCAAGCATTTAGTTTTTTAGTTCAATTTAGAATGTTTAAATACGCAAAGGCTCGAATCAAGTTTTTAGTTTAGTCTTTAAATAAACCCAATTTGTGCTTAAACAATTTCAGCTTAATTTTAAAAAAAGTGTATTTTAATCTTGACTCTAGACCAAATTGAACCGACTTTAAGATTAATTTATCCTGGACTTAAATTGTTTGCAAATTGCAACTACATTTAAGATTTAAAAATTTGTGAAATTTTAAAATTGTTCCATTCAAATTAAGAAAAGTTATGATACCATGTTTTGAATCATAATTAGGATTCATTAATGTGGCAAACAAGATTCTCAGAACGAGTCAGAAGTTCGCTCCGTGAGCCGAGCTACCGAACATATTCATTTTCACCATACAGGTTGATATGAATATGCATCAAAATTGTAATAAAAGAAAAAATTATTCAATTTTCAAACTATATGCAATGTATAACAGGGAACAACAGCACGTTGTTAGCATAAAAGTTTGCGCCCAACCAAACTTAAAGTGAAAATTATATCAAGGTGGCAACGCTGTGCGCTGGCCAGCTTCAGTTACCGTTAGCTACGGCTGCACCCATTGCCATTGCGCCTGCAACTGTTGTTGTTGCTGCTGCTGCTGTTGCCAGCGATAATTACGGCACAGGTTTTTGGCCAGGAGCAGAAGGAGCCAGGAGCCAGGAGCAACGGCAACAGGAGCTGAAGCCACAGTTTAGTCCTCGTTGTCTAAACAAAAATTATGTTTGTGGCTACTGTAAACATGCAACGCACGGAGTGCAACAACAACAACAACAACAACGAGTAGCTAACCCTAATTGGTGTCAGCGTTCACTGCGTGGTTGTGCCACAATGTTCGGGTGTGCGTGTGTGTGTGTGTGCGTGTGTCTGTGTGTTAAGTGCATATGTTTCATGTGTGTGTAAATTGCAACTAAAGACGAACCAAAAAAAAAAAAATGGCAACACAAACAACGCACGACAACGAAAACAACTTAAAAATCCAGAACAACACTAAAACCACTCACACGTACAGCTTGAGGGCTTCCACACACACACACACACATACAGTCGCACAGACAGTGACACACACACTTACACACACGGCGCCCAAATGTTGGCACATAAACAAAGGCGCTGCCAGCGCTGCCTCTGTCAACGTCAACGTCAACGTCGCTCCGGCCTGGCCCGGACCCAGACCCGTGCTGGTCGGTTCCTGTGAAAAGAACCAAGCCCTCGGGCCGCTTCTGTATGCCACTGTTCCACTGTGCCCCAACATGGCAACCGCATGCACATTGCGGGCAAGCAGAGGCCTGAGGATGCTTTAACAGAGCGACGAGCGGGTAGATGGAAGGTAGTTGGCAATGCAACAACAACAACGACAACGATTTGTAAGTTGGCTCTGTGCATATCCTGCTTGGCCCGGCAATGCCAGCGCGGTTGAACGAGGTGCCTTTGTGCGCATACGGAGGCAGCTTGATCCACTTTTTTCTTTGGCCCAACTCTTGCGACTCCATTAGCCCCACAAGAGAGTCAACAACTCGCTGTCTGTTTGCTGCTCTGTTCCAACTCCACAAGTGACAGCAGGCTGAGTGATAGAGTGTCAGAGGAGCTAAGCTGCGTAAATATCTTGAGACAGTAGATCGAATAACTACAGATCTGCGGAGTGCTACAAAAGTAGGGCAACTGAGTAAAGTATTAGAGATATTAGCAGTTGTGAGTCTTAATTTAAAATAAAACTAATTTCAGACTTAAAAACCTTTTTGTTAATAGTTGAGTGTAATGTTTAAACTATTTTCTTTTAATTAATTATATGAAAGTAACTATTTGAAAATAGTTATACAATATATTTCATATATATATATATAAATTTTTCAAAAGTATCTTCTGTAGTATCTCTGCAGATGAGAAGGTATTTATAAATTCATTTCAGGTTATATTACAACGTTTATAATATTCATTTCCCAACACTTAACTGACTTTCAAGCAACGTTTTCACAGGGGCGAAAACTCACTTGACAGTGCTGCCAGTTAGGTACAGCTTGTTAAGTGGCAACGCTGCAGTGCAATGCAATGTAACCACATAATAAGCAAATTGGTAATTGGCAGCACTGCCAAGTATTGTATTTCCCTTTGAGTTCAGTGCTGAAAAGTGATTGTTATAAACGTTGCAATAGACCCTTAACTAAATTTATAAATACTTTCTAACATAGGCTCTTTAATCATCTGCAGGGAGAAACTTCACTTGAAAACTTTCTCTAAACCAATTAAAGAGCTGTGCTTAAAGTGTTGACAGTTAATTGATTTTAAAACAATTTAAATTCCCTTTGAATCGATAGTGTTAAATTTAAGATGATTTAGGCTGCTTGACTTTCCTTTTACTGCTCGTGCTTTTGTTTCCTTTCCTTTTATTTATTTTATAAAATTGCACTTGATATTTGAAACTCGTCAATAATACTTTATATAGTTAACTGTTTAGTTACATATTTGCTTTCAGCTGTAACTTTTGCAAAGACATGAAGCTCTTATGTCGACTAGTTTATTGACTTTTTGAAATAGTAAACCAGACAGCAAATTTAAAATTCTATTCCAAGTTTCAGAGCCACTGTGCACTGTTTTTTTATATGCCCCTTACTGCTGTACCTACTATCCCTCTCTCTCTCTCTATCTCTCTCCCTCTATTTCTCTCTATCTCTCCCTCTCTCTCTCTCTCTGCAACCCTGTCTTTGCTTGCGCTGCTCCCAATGTCCTTTTGGACGTGTGACAAACGATGGTCCACTCAATGCACATACAAAAGAGCGTGAGTCCTGTTTCTGAGCCTAGTCAGCAGCTGCCATTGCTTCTGCTCCTTTTGCTGCTATGTATGCGTGTGTGTGCGTATGTATGTGGGTGTGCGTGTGCGTTTTGTGCCAGTTGCAGGCGGCATAGTTGCGTGTCAGTTGCGCAACTATTTGTCGAACTTCAGCCCCGGCTAAAAAAAAAAAAGGACAGCTCCAAAGGCTCTTACTACCCATTTCGTGGCGTACTCAAAGCTGACCCGACACGGCCGCCAGCTGGGGCTGCCTGCTCCGGAGCGCAGCATCATTTCAATCAGCACTTAAGCTCATCGAGTGCCTGCGCCCAGAGCCTTATTTCGACTGCGTTGCAAGAAAATTGCAAGACTTTTTGTGCCTGGCCAACAGCAGACTTCAAAATGATTTTTGTTAATAGCAGGTTTTCCTTTTTTTTTGGTTTTATTTGGCTTTTAAAATTGCCAATTAAATTTATGCGCATACACAGAAAACACGCATACGCCATGTTGGCCAGCATTTGCGTTCTCCTGCCCCAGCGCACATCCTGTGTCTGATGCTGTCCATCAGGCATCTATGTCTGCACTTAATTAATGCATATTATTGACAAAAGCATAGCTTGTTCGAATATGTTTGTCTATTCACGCATGCATGCACACACACGTATGCACACACACACAGGCATGCAATTGTTACGTATACGCTTTGATGTCCGTGCAGAGGGAATTTATGGTTCACCCACAAAACTGGAGCCAAACGTTGTGTTTTGAGCCACAGCCAGACAGTAAATTGTATGAAAACAATTATTAGTGTACAGCTAACGGGTTAACCAACACTTGTATGAGTACGAACACCGTCCCACACACCACACGCCCTCTTATGCCTTACACAACTGTGGGCGTGGCTCGATTTAGGTGTGGCAGGGCAGCTAGCAAAACGTGTCGCGTGCGCAATGGGCGTTAGTGGCTTTACAAATTTGATTTCAATTAGTTGCCCAAATTAGTGAGGCAAAACCACAGCAACTAAATTACTGAATACTGCTGAGAGGGGGGCCGGGAAATGCGATTTGAATCAGTGTTAACAACTGTCACCTCAAAAAAGTGATTGAAACTGAAGTAAAAAAATATTATACAAATATACATTTAGCTAGCTTTACCATTACTTTTATCTGTCCCTTTATTATTATCCGGCATTTCTCTACTCTGTTCAAAAAGTGAATCTTCTCCTTTTCTCAACACTGGTAATCTAGTGATGAGTAAATAGTAAAGATCATTAACAGGTGACCAGCAGCTGTCTAGACCCTAAATACAGAACTAGTAGCATTCTGCCTATTAATAAAATATATTTTTAATTTTCTCAGAATTCAAGATTTTCTCCAAATTAAGCTTTACAAAGTTGTCGTTTCGATCAGTACACATGATTTTATGTTAAATACTTTTAATCAAGTCCTTAGTGTAACTCCTCTAATGCTAGCTATAAATAAAGTATAGATTCTATACAAATCTCATAATAGTGAGCTTATATGGCACAAAGTATCAAATTTCTTTATAATGGTCGGAGGCGCTTTTTTTGCCTGTTGCATACCTTTGCACAAATATGGGTTCAATGGGTTCTGTGTATAAAAAAGTGAAACAAAAGTTTCCGAAAGAAATAAAGAAATTTGTATGAGTAATTTGTGTTTGTGGGGGCAACTAAAATCCTGTCCAACAAGCTATGCCCTTACTCATGGATTGCGCGATTGCAGTAGTGGGAATTACACAAGCATTTCATTTTCAAAATTATTTAGTCGTAGGGAATTTTGTTTAGTATTGAATATGTTAACATTTTGTCTTTATGCGAAATATATTCAAGCCACGTTTTTCTAATTTTGTTATTAATAAAAGTTTTGACAACATGTTCATACTGGTTACTTATGATTTTTTGCACTTTCTGCTTAAGTTTTTACGCTCTTGGAGTTTACAATCATTTGTTTTACAATTTTAAATAAAGACAGAACAAATGGGAGTTTCAAAATTTGTTGTATATAACCTGTTCGTACTATTCTTCGTCGACCAGTCAGTCTCAGGTTTTGACCAGTTGTGGAACTGCAGCACACACATTGAATTTGCTTCGAGAGAAAGGAACTGCCATACTCTCTACCAGCGGCGCTCACCTGCGAGCGTGGATAGCTTTTCCATGGCACCCTCGGACATGTCCCAAGTCCATGCACCCCAGACACAGAGTGACAACTTTAGCCAAAACTCAAGCACCTATGATGAGGACGATGGTGAATTCCACTTTCTAGTAACCAACGGCTATCGTCCTGAAAAGGATCACCTGGTAAAATTTGTAGTTTCGATACGTTATAGAAAATTTCGTAAATTCTTTGGCGACAATCACAAGTGTGGCGGCAGTTTAATATCTAAGACAGTTGTTCTAACAGCAGCCCATTGTCTGGTTAAAAGGTATGTCGTCACGGTTACTAAGAGTACCTCACATATAATTTGTATTGCAGACGATCCAACAAGCTTCGACGTAAAAGCAAATTTACCGTAGTTGCCGGTACACCGCGTCGCCTATTGGAGACAAGTAGCACCCAAGAAATTAAAGTGAAAAAAGTCGTGCCGCATTCAGAGTACACCCTTAGACCAATAACCAATGATATTGGCATTTTACTTCTCAAAAGCGAGATGCAGCCAAATGAAAATTTTGTCGCTATAATGCCCTTGCCTGACGAGCATGCCACCGCTGGATTGAAGTGCACAGTCGTTGGATGGGGTCATGCTGTTGAGGTAAGTGGAAAATATACATTTTCTGAGCACCTTTTGGAGGGAAAATGAAAAATTTCAGCATGATTTTCCGTAAAAAACGGATCAGGTTTCAAATAAAATGTTACACAGATATTACAAATAGATCCGAATATGAGTAATTTTACCGTCAATATGCAGAATAATATCTGATTCTCATTTAAATATGCATTCCTAGAATGGTCCAATACCCGACGAGGCAGTCAGTGCCGATTTGACTATCCTTCCATATGAGTTTTGCAATACATTTGAGGAATTTAGAGAAGGCATGATATGTGCCGTCAGCCCAAGGCATTTCACAGAATCCCCCTGCCAGGGCGATTCGGGCGGACCGCTAATTTGCGCAGGAAAAGTTATGGGCATCGTCTCCTTTGGCTTCGGCTGTGGTAAGCCGGAAGGCGCCGGCTTCTTCACCGATGTGTACTACTATCGTAGTTGGATAGAGCGTAATGCAGCAATGTGCCCATTGGCGTCCTGGTTTTGGCTTCTAATGATCACGCTGGTAATGCAAGTTCTGCGAGCACTTTAGAATGTGTGCTTGGAGTCAATCAGCTTTATGGATCTCGATTTTAACCGATTTTGAGTTTGGAAAATATGAAAAATTCTGAGCACACGTGGTAAATGCGTTGGCTAAGTAGCCCGCTGTATGATGACGTTCAAGTCGAATGATATAGTAGTCAGTGCTATTTAAAGGTTTATTTTAAATATCAAGTTTCAACCCATTTCGTCACGAAAAATTTAAAATTTTAGCATGACTTTCCTCAATTAAGGAATCTGGTTTCAAATAAAAGTATACATGGATATTACAAATATAATCAGAATGAGAGAATTGAGAGATGTACTTATAATTGACTCCCTATAATAAATTAAACGGCAATAAGCGGAAAAATATCTGATTCTCAAATATGCCCTTTGCCTGTTACATACATTTGTCCAAATACATTGTACCCTTTATACCCATTTTTCCGACTGGGCAATTTCCAGAACCCTCTTCTACCAAAACCAAGTACGCTCATTTGCCTTAGCAGTAATAAAAATCAAGTAAAAAAAAAAATAGTTCCGTCGATAGGACTCGAACTCGTAAGGGAACACACACTTGCCGCCGCCTCTAGTGAACAGCCATTTGACTGTTAGCGAGAAAAAACAAATTAAAATACAACACATACACACATTACAGAATACAATACATAAACAATTGCAATGCTGTTGACAGAATTCGAAGAAGACGCGCATGAAAGTGAGGGTGAACATGTTTACAGAAATTCTTGAAATTTGTGCTTGCTGCCCCAAATTCATAACCTTTTTCTTTAATAACTTCTGTGTTTCTTAACCGAACTTGATGAAATATTCAACAGTAGATCTTATTGTTCTATAGAATATTTGTATATTCTCAAAAAATCAATTTTGGTGATAGCTATAAAATGAAAGATACTTGATATACATATACTATTCTGGAAGCTGCCTGTACCAGTTGGTGACTGTAGCTTATATTGTTGCCCAATCTTGCTCGTAAGATAACATTTCGATATCGATATTAATCGATTACTTGGAAACGGGGCAAGTTAATGCAATTGCGCGGCCAATACGGAGCCTACGTTCCAAATTTCAAGTCTAGCTCTTATATGTTAGGTTCTGATATCTTTTGGTTCATACGAACGGACGGACGGACAGACATGGCTAGATCAACTCGGCTATTATTTGTACAAATACCAATTTGAAATGGGTTCAGAGTATAAGAAAGTTAAAAAAAAGCAAGAAGTAACTAAATTTCTAAAAGTATACAGAATATAAATAATATAAGGCATAGTGATGGGATCTGCCCAACCCGGGGGAAATTCAAATCCTCTCCGGGAAGCTATGTCCTATATCATAGATTGGGCGAATGCATTTGTGGGAATTATACAAGTTAATACAAGTTAGTATTGAATATGTTAACATTTTGCCTTTATGCGAAACATATTCAAGCCACGTTTTTCTAATTTTGTTATTTATAAAAGTTTTGACAACATGTTTATACCGGATACTTATGATTCTTTGTATTTTTTCAATGCACTTTCTGCATACGTTTTTACGCTCTTGGAGTTTACAATCATTTGTTTTACAATTTTAAATAAAGACAGAACAAATGGGAGTTTCAAAATTTGTTGTATATAACCTGTTCTTACTAGTCTTCGTCGACCAGTTAGTCTCAGGTTTTGACCAGTTGTGGAACTGCAGCACACACATTGAATTTGCTTCGAGAGAAAGGAACTGCCATACTCTCTACCAGCGGCGCTCACCTGCGAGCGTGGATAGCTTTTCCATGGCACCCTCGGACATGTCCCAAGTCCATGCACCCCAGACACAGAGTGACAACTTTAGCCAAAACTCAAGCACCTATGATGAGGACGATGGTGAATTCCACTTTCTAGTAACCAACGGCTATCGACCCGAAGAGGATGACCTGGTTAAATTTTTAGTTTCGGTACGACTTAGACAGGGGTCTAAATTCTTTGGCGGCGACCATTTGTGTGGCGGCTGTTTAATATCAAGGACAGTTGTCCTAACAGCAGCCCATTGTCTGGTTGATGAGTATGTCACGTCACGGTTACTAAGAGCACTCCACATCTAATTTTGACATTGCAGAAGCGAAACGGTTCTATCTAGAAATAAGTTAAAGGTAGTTGCCGGTACACCGCGTCGCCTATTGGAGACAAGTAGCACCCAACAAATAAAAGTGAAAAAGGTCAGGCCGCATCCAGAGTTCTCCGCTGATACACTGATCAATGATATTGGCATTTTACTTCTCAAAAGCGAGATGCAGCCAGATGGACGTTTTGTCGCTATAATACCCTTAGTTGACAAGGATCCCCCCGCTGGATTGAAGTGCACGGTCATTGGATGGGGTGCTATTTTTGAGGTGAGTCTCTAACTGGAATAAATAAAAATTCTGAGCACTTCTTGGGGAAGAAAATGAAAATTTTCAGCATGATTTTCTATAATAAAGGAATCAGGTTTTGAATAAAATTTTACATGGATATTACAAATATGATCAGAATGAGAGAATTGAGAGATGTATTTATAGTTGACTCCCTAAAATAAATTAAACGGGAGTAAGCTGAATCCGATTCTCTACTACAAATAGCTCCGAATGAGAGAATTGACTGCCTATAATAAGTTTATCTGATTCTCATTAAAATCTGCATTCCTAGAATGGCCCATTACCCGACGAGGCAATCAGAGGCGATTTGACTATCCTACCAAATGAGTTTTGCTATTCATTAAACTTTTTTGAAAAAGGCATGATATGTGCCTCGAACCCAAAAGATTTCGAAGTGGACTCCTGCCAGGGCGATTCGGGCGGACCGCTAATTTGCGCAGGAAAAGTGGTGGGCATCGTCTCCTTTGGCAACGGCTGTGGGAGGCCGTTTTCCGCCGGCGTTTACGCCGATGTGTACTACTATCGTAGTTGGATAGAGCATAATGCAGCAACGTGCCCATTGGCGTCCTGGTTTCGGCTTCTACTGATCACGCTGGTAATGCAAGTTCTGCGAGCTCACTGACTTTAGAATGTGTGCTTGGAGTCAATCAGCTTTATGGATCTCGAGCAGCAAGCTTGTGTGTGTGTGTACGGGCGAGTATGTGTTGTATGTATGTATGCAATTATGTATGTATGTATGCATGCATGTTTGTTTTCTAATACAAAACGCAGACCTTATTGTGTCGCTGTGCTGCAAATTTAAATAAAACCAATTCGTACCAAGTGCTCTCCTCCTCGATTCTCAAGAATTCAAGTAGGCCCTGCTGCCAACGGCCTGTGGAGTAGCTAAAGGCGGCGTAGGAGGAGGTGGAGCGGGTAAGTTAGAATGTATGTATGTAGATGTATGTATGTAGATGTATGTATGTAGATGTATGTATGTAGATGTATGTATGTAGATGTATGTATGTATGTATGTATGTATGTATGTATGTATGTATGTATGTATGTATGTATGTATGTATGTATGTATGTATGTATGTATGTATGTATGTATGTATGTATGTATGTATGTATGTATGCAATTATGTATGTATGTATGCATGCATGTTTGTTTTCTAATACAAAACGCAGACCTTATTGTGTCGCTGTGCTGCAAATTTAAATAAAACCAATTCCTACCAAGTGCTCTCCTCCTCGATTCTCAAGAATTCAAGTAGGCGCTGCTGCCAACGGCCTGTGGAGGAGCTAAAGGCGGCGTAGGAGGAGGTGGAGCGGGTAAGTTAGTATGTATGTAGATGTATGTATGTAGATGTATGTATGTAGATGTATGTATGTGTGAATGTATGTATGTATGTATGTATGTATGTGTGTATGTATGTATGCATGGTAAGCAAAAAAGTTTCAAATAAACATTTTTTTTCGATTTTTCCACACATGCGAGTGAAATTTCCCGAATGAAATATAATTTAAGTCTTTTACAATACTATTTTAATCCATTTTTTAACACTACTTGCCAACATAAAGCTTAACTAGCTAGCAAATATATGTTATGGCATTTTTAGGATATACTAGTAACAATCTAATTTAAGTCTATCGCATTCTTAGCCAGCCTTCACATCCTTTATCAGCATTAAGATCTAAAACCCGGTATCCTTTCAAATCTGACATGAGTTTAAGTTGCCAGCTGCTGTTGGTTACGTTATTAACTCCTTAAATGGCTTTCATTAGTGTAAACTCTTGATTTTCTCGCAGATTTCCAGCAGCTGCACTCTGTATGCACATGTGTTAACGCATGCATGTGAGAGTGTGTGTGTCTGTGTGTACATGTCTTTAGCTTTCGCTTCTGTGCGCCGCGAAGTATGCAACAAAAAAACGATAAATATGCGCTTTTTATTTGCCCAGGCTAAGCACGCAGCGCCTCTTACGATACATAATTTCCCTCAGCCCGCGCGTCTGTTATCTCATCTGTACGATCGCTGACTGGGCGTGGCACGTAGCTCGTAACCGCCCACCCCTACACCATCTAAGCTTGTGCAAAGACACGACTCATGTTTCGTTGTTAAGGTGAATTTGCCATTGTTGTTGGCTTCGCTGCAGCCGCCATTGCTGTTGTCTTTGATTATGATTTGTCTGGCTTACATACAGCTCATCCACACACACAGACACATAGACATCGGCTTAGGCAGGCTCTTATGACGCGCCTTCACTGTGTTACTTTTCCCTGGGCTGCCTTTATGGCAAATGTGACAATAAAAACAAATTTTAACTTTGGCTTGGCCAACGACAAACAGCCCGAGCACAAGCATACCCACACCCACAACGCACACATACATACACACATGCACTCACATAGACACACACTCACACAGACGCACGTTGCACACATTATTGTCATAACATGGCTTACAAACACGCAAATAACAAGCAGCATCAGCAACAGCACCAACAACAACAACAACAACAACAGCAGCAATAAAAGCAAATGCGTTGGAAACAATCGGGGGTGTGTGCAAGACCATAAGATACCCTAGAGGGGTATTTAAATAAGCGCATATCATTTCTAAGCAAAAGAGTTTAAAAACTGTCCGCTGTAGTTCATGCAAAGAAAATGTGCAAACTGCATGAAGTTGGCTGCGCCTAATTGGCATTTTCCTCGTTACTCGTTAAATTTGTGACCTTTGGCAGATTTTTGTTGGCTTGCAGCCTTGATTCTAAGCACAGCATACCCTGCTAGCATTCGCGTACAGGCTATGTCAGCCATAACAATAATAACCCGGCGGCAAAGGCATTTTGCATCCTGCCAGCACAACCTGAGCCTGTACGGTTGCCCAGGTGATTTCTGGCTGACAGGCGATAGTCAAACGAAGACTCATGACAATTGCCAACTGCAGCTGCAGTGTGTGTGTGTGTGTGTGTGTGTGTGTGTGTGTGTGAAGTGTGTGTGCCTGCCATAAGCTGCAGTTGCAGTCGAGACACTTGGTAATGTAATTCGCAACCCTGCAACCCACAATGTATTTTATTTTTGTGTGCTGGCGTTTTATTATTATTAAACAAAAGCCACTGCCGCCCAACGCCCCCTACCCCCCGCCTGCTGCAGTTGTCGCTCTTGACGCTGCTTGACATTGTTTACCTGTTTCGTTAGCTTGTGCGAAAGTTCTGGCTGTCAGTCAGCCAGTCACTTTGTCACTTAGTCACTCGGTCAGTTCTCTGCCCCTGGCTGACAGCCCTAAGACGGCATTTCTCTCTGTCCCTTTCTCTCTCTCTTTCTCTCTCTCTCCTTCAGTCAGCTGCAGTTGCACCGAATTCTGTCTGGGCTTAGTTTTCAGCTGCTGCTCGTATTCAATTTGATTTGGTTGCTTACCTTACGCACACACACGCACGCACGCTTAAGGAGCGTCCGTGTGTGTGAACTGTTAATGTAATTGTGTCCATTCCGGATATTTGTTGCTGCTTATTTCGGGTACTTAGAGCACTTTGCGTAATTGCCTTCGACTTGCTGCATGCATAAAATGCTTTGCCCAAAACTATTTCAAAGTACTCGTTCGAATTGCATTCGTCTTGCTTAGCCTAATTTGCACAGCTCGAAAACTATTTAAAAGCTGCAGTTCAACTTTTGAGTGCTTTCTTCTGCCACATACAACAGATTACCTGTAGGTTTCGTGGTATTTTCCCAAAACTAAATTAAAGCAGACTTTAGCCAAACCAGAGACGAAAATGCTGTCAAGCATTTTGGTCGAAAATATCTTTTTCTTTTCAAATTTTAATGCACAAATATAAAAGTCAAACCAAGCCGAAAATTAATTGAGTTTTGTTGAAACTTTTAAGTCTTTAACTATGAATTTATGATTATTTATAGTTGGCATTTCTTAAAATAGAAATTCTTAACTTTTTGGTTTTAAGATTTAAATACAGAATCCACAGCTTTAGCTTCGGCCCAAATGGTATTCCTCATAAATATTTGGCATAATTTTGAGAGCTTGTGTTCCGGCAATAGCTTTAACTATGGATTCGATATATGTGCCAGATTAACCTAGAGGGAAAACCATGAAGAAAAATCCAAACTTCGTGAAAATCGGATGAGATTTGGCCGAGATATGGGGGTGGTCATTTTTGACCCATGTCTATATACGAATCTTTGGGTAAGAAATGGACATGAATTTCGACTGAAAAATCGGTGTCGAGATTTGAATGCCAGATTAATCTAGAGGGTAAACCATTAAGAAAAAGCCAAACTTCGTGAAAATCGGATGAGATTTGGCCGAGATATGGGGGTGGTAATTTTTGACCCATGTCTATATACGAATCTTGGGGTAAGATTTGGACATGAATTTCGACTAAAAAATCGGTGTCGAGATTTGAATGCCAAATTAATCTAGAGGGAAAACCATGAAGAAAAAGCCAAACTTCTTGAAAATCGGATGAGATTTGGCCGAGATATGGGGTCGTCATTTTTGACCCTTGTCTATATACGAATCTTGGGGTAAGATTTGGACATGAATTTCGACTAAAAAATCGGTGTCGAGATTTGAATGCCAAATTAATCTAGAGGGAAAACCATGAAGAAAAAGCCAAACTTCATGAAAATCGGATGAGATTTGGCCGAGATATGGGGTCGTCATTTTTGACCCTTGTCTATATACGAATCTTGGGGTAAGATTTGGACATGAATTTCGACCAAATCTTAGGGTAAGATTTAGACATGAATTTCGACTAAAAAATCGGTGTCGAGATTTGAATGCCAGATTAATCTAGAGGGTAAACCATTAAGAAAAAGCCAAACTTCGTGAAAATCGGATGAGATTTGGCCGAGATATGGGGGTGGTAATTTTTGACCCATGTCTATATACGAATCTTGGGGTAAGATTTGGACATGAATTTCGACTAAAAAATCGGTGTCGAGATTTGAATGCCAAATTAATCTAGAGGGAAAACCATAAAGAAAAATCCAAACTTCGTGAAAATCGGATGAGATTTGGCCGAGATATGGGGGTGGTCATTTTTGACCCATGTCTATATACGAATCTTTGGGTAAGAAATGGACATGAATTTCGACTGAAAAATCGGTGTCGAGATTTGAATGCCAGATTAATCTAGAGGGTAAACCATTAAGAAAAAGCCAAACTTCGTGAAAATCGGATGAGATTTGGCCGAGATATGGGGTCGTCATTTTTGACCCTTGTCTATATACGAATCTTGGGGTAAGATTTGGACATGAATTTCGACTAAAAAATCGGTGTCGAGATTTGAATGCCAAATTAATCTAGAGGGAAAACCATGAAGAAAAAGCCAAACTTCATGAAAATCGGATGAGATTTGGCCGAGATATGGGGTCGTCATTTTTGACCCTTGTCTATATACGAATCTTGGGGTAAGATTTGGACATGAATTTCGACCAAATCTTAGGGTAAGATTTAGACATGAATTTCGACTAAAAAATCGGTGTCGAGATTTGAATGCCAAATTAATCTAGAGGAAAAACCATGAAGAAAAAGCCAAACTTCATGAAAATCGGATGAGATTTGGCCGAGATATGGGGTCGTCATTTTTGACCCTTGTCTATATACGAATCTTGGGGTAAGATTTGGACATGAATTTCGACTAAAAAATCGGTGTCGAGATTTGAATGCCAAATTAATCTAGAGGGAAAACCATGAAGAAAAAGCCAAACTTCATGAAAATCGGATGAGATTTGGCCGAGATATGGGGTCGTCATTTTTGACCCTTGTCTATATACGAATCTTGGGGTAAGATTTGGACATGAATT